CAGCAAGGCCCAGGTGGAGATTGCAAGCCGTCAAGAGGGGACCTGGGTCTTGGGCCCTGGCCAGAGCAGCACCCATGGAGCAGGCCAGCAGTGGGGCTGATGGGGGCCGTGGAACAGAGCAGGCCCAGTGGCCACATCTGAGTCCAAATGCCTGGCCGTGACCCTTGGACTAGTCACCTCTGGCCTCAGTTTTCTCGTCTATAACGTGGGCGTCGGAATGTACACCTTACAAGAAAGCAGGGTGCTTTCAAGGAGTTCAACTACAGCAAGTTCCCAGGCCAGGCCAGGAAATGCCCAGATGAAGGGAACTGTGACCTGGATGGACATCAGGGCCAGCCACTGCCCAGGAGCCCATAACCCTCCTCCAGCCCTGGTGCAGACTGCACTGGCCAGAGAGGCTGCCCCAGTGGCGGAGCTCTGCACAACTGGGAAGTGAATCCACGTGGCCCCAGATCAGCACTCCAGCGACCTGTCCGACCCGCCCTCCCAGTAGGGACCGCCTCCACAAGAGCTCCCGCCTCCCAGAATGCCTTTACCATCCTGACCAAGGAAGCGGAGAGGCCCTGGGATTCTGTTCAGTGGACCTGCAGGTGTGGCAAGTCCTGAAAGACCTGCAGGATGGCAGGCACGCGGAGCCACGCCCCCTGCAAGCAGGGAGCTTTGAGGAGGAAGGGCGGAAAGTGAGCAGAGGCCCGTGAGGGGCTGTGAGGAGCTTGTCCCCGCCTGGGGGAGTGCCAGGCTTACCTGAGACAACTGCTGGGGACACACACTCCCGGGAGAGGAGAAGCCTCTGCTCCCTCGCACCCCTCCAGCCCCACCCACAGGCTCACCCAGCCAGACCCTCCTCCCCACAGCCCCCACCCTGCCCTGCAGGGAGAGGTGAGAGCCAGGGCCCCCAGGCAGGGTCAGGAGGAGTCAGCCTGCCCCAGGCCTGCAGGTAACCCAGACAGCTCCGTCCTCAGGGCTGCTTCCTGAACATGCCCCCTGCCCCCGCTGGACGGAGGACTTTCTCTGCCTGAGCTCACACCCTGGAGTGGGCCACACCCGGGCCCAGTGACCAGCAGGCAGGGGCAGCTGCTTGTGCTGGCACTGTATGTTGGGCAGGAACCCTACCTAGAGTCATTCCCCAAAAGGGACCCTGCCCCAGGCCATCCACTCCAGAGGCTCAGTGCCCTGGGGAGCACGCAGGCCCAGTGTACTCAGGAGGGTCTCTGCCTCGGCGCCCCAGGAGAGGCCAGGGTCCTGTTGGGAGCCAGTCCAGAAGCCCTGACGCCCCCTGAACAATAGGAGTGTTTTCCTTTCCATGATAAGCGTGTCTGAGTTAATAGTTCCCAAGCTCTGCAGTGGGGAGGGGACAGCTGCTGGGCAAGTGACAGCTCAAAATGAAACCCAGAGCCTCACAGTTCAGCAGGGGCTGTCCCCACCCAGGCCCCCACCTTGGCCACTCGGGCCTGACACTCATAAGCCCCAGGCCCCCTCAGGACTCCTAGAATTTGACCCTGACTGGTCACCAGGGGACTCACATGTCAATCCTTCCCATAGGGTCCCCAGCTCAGAGACCTGACCCCCACCTCACTCCTGCTCTGGTGGGGTTCCTGGTCCTACCAGGCCAGGGAAGGTGGCAGAGCAGGGGGTCACCATGGCTGGCAGGGCAGAAGCTCCCTCCTGGGTCTCCCTTACCACCCAGCTGCCCGGTGGCAGCCTGGTCCCTCAGCACACCCTCACCTGGACACGTGCCGCCATCTGCGCATTCCAGGCCAGCTGCTCTGGGAACCTCATCCCACTGATTCCTCCCAAAGCCACTGTGAGAAGCGGGCACTATTGTCACCCCTACACAGAGGAACAGAGACACAGAGAGGCAACTAACTGGTCCAGAGTCACACGACACTGAGCTGATAGAGCTGAGCCCCAGAAGGGTTCCCAGAGCATCCTGGGGACCAGTTACCTGCTGAAAGGCAATGAGCGGAGGGCCCAGGGAACCCGGGGCACAGAACTGAACAGAAGATCATGGACCAGATCATGGCAGTATCAGAAAGTGATTGTGGGGAAGGGGACAGTAGAGGGACATGTTTGAGCTGTGATCCCTCCCTTCCTGGTTCAAGCAAAACAGACATGTGAAGGGGCCAGATTTTACCACGACCAGTATGCTCCCCACCCCACCCCCACTGCCACCCAGCAGGAGGGAACACCCACCACCTCTTCTCCCTCTGTCCCACCGTCCAAGGACCAGTGGGTTTGCTTCCACCTCTTGAGAGCTGGTTGGAGGGCCACAGGGTACCAGGAGGTCATACAGCCTTCATGGAGTCCAGTCTCTTAAGAGCCCTCAAAGGGTTAACTCCTTCCTGGGCTGGCCCTCCCTGGAGGCCAGGGATTTCCTCCTGGTGTACATTTTGCATTCTTCATTTGTCCTAATTGGCTTGTTTAATTACTAGCTGTGAGACTTTGGGCCAATCAGCCAATCTCTGTGCTTTGTAAATAGGAATAATAGCATCACCTACTATATAAGACTGACGTGAGAATTAAATGGAAATACTGAGGACAGAGCGCCCAGGTGAAGCATGTGTTTCCTACCCAAGAACTTCACAGATTTTATCCCAAGTAAGAAGTCCAAGTCAGTCTCCGCCGCTGTCAGGATGCCAGGTTGGCTACTCATCTTTTATTCCCCTCTGGCCCTTTTCAGAGAGCTCAGCCCTAGCAGTTAAGCACACTTTCCCACTTTTCACTTCTCTCCATGCCCGGTGCTCACTGGAGCATCTTCCCGTTGCCCAGAACACTCTTGGTAAGGGCTTGGAGGCCAGGGGAGTGCAGGTACATAGGTTGCTGTCCCGTGCCCTTGCATCCCGACCTCGCAGATCCGCAGCAGGCTCAGGGCCCGGATGCACACAGCTCCCTCCCTATGAGGCTCACTGCCTAGAGAGACAAGGAATACAGATGAAGTTGGGTGGGGCAAGAAGGGGCCCCAGAGCAGGGAGAGTGAGAAGCAGAGAACCAGGACCTTGGGGGCAGGGGAAGGAAGAAGTTGCCATAGGTGGGACAGCGTGTGGGGACGGCACTGGGAGTCTGTAAAGACGGTAATGGAAGGTCTCCAAGTTCCCCATCCCAAAGGACACGCTCCTCCACCTCAACCTTCGGCTCCTAGTCTCCACGTACATAGTCCAGAACCTGCCCTCAAGTCCTTGGTGGAGTCCAGGGTGCGAGCGGGGACCTGTGCCAGCCTGATCTGGACCTTCAGCCCTGGACGGCTCCGCCCACCCCGGGCACCTCCACCTGCACAGGGAATCTGAAGCACGGGGGTCTGCCAGCCCAGGGCTGCCCCAGGTCCCACAGGAATGACAGAGTCCACTGCGGAGGCGCCCCAGGCTCCAGAGTCCCTGAGAAACCCACAGCCGAGGTCCTTCAGTGCCAATCCAGCACTCCTAGGGAAGTCCCCAGGACTAATCACAGTGCCTTCCTAACCCCCCAAGTCTTTGCCCCCAGGGAGAGAACCCAGTGTCTTCTCCACCCCTGGGAGGGCTGAACTAAGGGCTGGGCTCGGCAAAGGAGAAATTCTCTGCTTAAGCATTGCCTTCAGTCCAATGGTGCTGAGGACCCTGAGTCCAGGACCCCTGTGGAGTGCTGATCTCCGTCCAGGGCCTAGGGGTGACATCAGGGTGACCGACGACACTGGGGAAGCTGAGCAAGGAGCCAGGTTGGAAGAATCCGGCCGGCTGGGTTTGGAGGAAGAAAGTCTCATCACCCGGGTAGCCTTCCATCCATGGGAGTATTTTTGGCACCTGGAGAACACTCCTCCTGAGTTCCCTGACTTCCCTACACGTAACGGGAGTGAGGGCTGAGAACTAGGCTGGGCCCTTGGGAGCCACAAGGCACCTCACAAGCCGGACACTGCTGACCCCACACATGCCTCCGCTGAAACCCCCACCCTAATGACCCTGCTTGTCCAAAAAGAGGAAACTGTTGGACTCTGGCAGGACTTCATGCGAGTGCTGGCCAGTAGTATATCCAATCGAGTCCAGGATCCCTGAGAGAAACCGTCCCAATGGAAGCAGGATCCCTGCACGGCCCCAGGAGTACAGGGGCGCAACCCGGCTCCAGCACCGCAGAAGCATCCATCGTTCCGGCCGGGATCCCGGGCTCAACCACCAGGCACTCAGCCACCAGCCTCGAACAGGATCCCCAAGCAGGCAAGGAGGGCTGGGACCAGTAAATTCTATGAACAAAATTTAAAGAAGTCTCTGCTCTTGGCTCTCGCTGCCCCACCGAACACGAGACACGATGGCGTCCCCTTCATTTGTTGGGGCTCAGCTGTGAGTGTCTGGTGCCTCTCGGTTGCCGAATCCAGCGAGCTGGGCTTGCTCGGGTCACGTGGTACTGCGGCCAGAGCCCCAGCGCTGACCCCGTGGGGAGGGAGGGGCGGGCGCCGAGAGGGAAGGGGCGGCGCAGCAGGGGCTGGGCGGGACGGGGCGGAGGGGCGGCCCGAGCGTCCGGGGTTCCCTGCAGAGGCCACTCGGGGCCGAGGATCCCAGTCTCCAGGCGGCCGGTAGCCGACGCTCGGCAAGCACCGCGCCCTCCTGCCCTCCTGTCCGCCGGTGAGTGCTCCAGAAGGGCCTGCCTTTGCGCGCCCCGCCCCAGTCCGTCGATCTCTCCCAGAGCTGTGGGGCCCGGCTCCGGAGGCCCTGCGCTGGCTGACGTCCGGGCCGGTCCTTCCCAGCCCCCACTGAGCCCACCCCAGAGCCCTATCTGGTCCAGACAGCGGAGGAGGTGAGCTCCGCGTTAGGAATGCACCGGGGATGCGGGGCAGGGCTGGGGGCCATTCCGCCTTCGTTGTTCCTCCCCGAGGATCCTGAGACCTGCCCGGGATCCTCCCTGGCCTAGGAGTTGGGTGAAGGGTCTGAGCGACAGCACCTGCCCGGCACAAGCGCGGGCGATGACAGAGGGTGCCTAGCGGCCGTGAACTCGACACTGGTCCTCGTTTCCTGCAGGTCGGGACCGCTCCCGGGGAGATGTACCAGAGCTTGGCACTGGCTCCGAGCCCCGGCCAGGCCACCTACGCCGACTCGGGAGCCTTTCTGCACGCTGCGGGCGCAGGATCCCCGATGTTCGTGCCGCAGGCGCGCGTACCTTCCATGCTGTCTTACCTGCCGGCGTGCGAAGCGGGCCCACAGCCCTCAGCGCTCCCTGCGCACCCGGGCTGGGCGCAGGCAGCCGCCGCCGACTCCTCGACCTTTGGTTCTGGTAGCCCGCACCCACCGGCCGCGCAGCCGCCGGGGGCCACCGCCTTTCCATTCGCGCACAGTCCCCCCGGACCTTGCAGCCGCAGCAGCGCTGGGAGCCGGGACGATGGCGTCTACCAGGGCACACTTCTGGCTCGCGATCAGTACACCGCCTCGCTTGGGCGGCCAGTGAGCGCCTCATATCCCACAACTTACCCCACCTACGTGAGCCCCGACGTGGCCCAGTCTTGGACCGCGGGACCCTTCGATGGCAGCGTACTGCACGGCCTGCAGAGCCGCCCGGCTGGCCTCCCAGGCAGCAGGGCCACTTTCGGTGAGTGCGGGGCTCGGGCGCGGCTCCATTGACGTGGGTGCTCGCCGAACCCGGGTAAGCCCGTACCCTGAGAAATGCTACACACACACACACACACACACACACACACACACACACCAATCAGGGACAGGTCTACTCGAGCGATCAGCCCGGACGTCCTGGGGCTTGTAAATCTCCAGGGAATACCGAGCCTCACCTACCCTTGAAGAAAACCTTGTATACAGAATTCTTTTTTAATATGATAATAAGAAAGTACATAAATTTCTGCCACTCATTTATCCGAACCCAAGACAGCATTCTAGGTCGTGCCAATTTCGAGACTACGTTTTAAATATTTTTTGAAAAGTTTGGCAATGATTTTTATAAAGTTCAAAATATCTGTTCATTTAAGTAAGTCGCCACATTCGTCCTCTCTGTCGTAGAATGTTTGCATTCTAATTTGAACCCTGGTTTCGATCCTTCCCTGGAGCATAAATTCGGACAATCGAATTCTAGGCCTGTGAAGCGGGGAATCGCTCACCCGGTTTCTGAGTATACTCGGCAGCACACATTTTTGCCCCGCGCAGCCGAAAACCGAAGGCCACGCCTCTGTGCTTGCAACCCCAGACCCCCTCTGAGCTACCCCTCCGGGGAACTGGAGGCAACGCCGCCCTGCTCCAGCCGCCTTTTGGCCCCCGGCCCCGAGCGCAGGAAGCGGGCTCTGGCCCCGGCGCCCAGCGCAGCCCAGCGCCTGGCGCCCACCCCCGGCCGGGCGATGATTGATCCCCGCCCCGCCCCCACCCGGCGCCCCCGCCGCCCGCGCGTCGCCGGCGCCTGGCCGGGCCTGGAGGGGACCTGGGAGCCCTCCACCCCCGCCCATGCCGGAGACGCCGCCGCGCAGCCCGGCCTTCCAAGGGAGGACAGTGATTGTGACCACACCAAAGTTTCCAGGCCCTCTGCGCCCCTGAAGGATCTCGCGATCTCGCTGAGCCTCTCAACCCACATCCCCTGGGGTCGACCCCCTTCGCAGAGAGGCGGCCAGGGGATAGCGGGTCCCCTGGGAGCGACGCCCCTTGCACCCGGCTAATGCCCCTTCATCTGCCTCCCCTTCGGGTGCTGAAGCTCCTGCTTCCCAAGCAGGTCACAAATGCAGACGCTGGCACTGGACCCTGGTTCAAAGAGGGACCCGCCCCAGGTGTCGGCCCTAAGGTTTGGTTTATTCACACTTCCGCCTTATAAAAACCACCCTAATGAATTTCACCGTGTGCCGATTACAAATTTAAAAGTGAAACGAGACAAGGCATATAAATAATTGGTTTAGTAGAATAGAATTAAGGCACCACAAAGGGAGGAGGGGTCCTGCAGAAGCCCTCGGGCTGGGGGCAGGGCAGAGGCGTCGGCCCACAGCCCTCAGCCGCTTCTTCCCGTAGCGTCCGACTTCTTGGAGGAGTTCCCCGGCGAGGGCAGAGAGTGCGTCAACTGCGGCGCCCTTTCCACTCCGCTGTGGCGCCGAGACGGCACGGGCCACTACCTGTGTAACGCCTGCGGCCTCTACCACAAGATGAACGGTGTCAACCGGCCGCTTGTTCGGCCCCAGAAGCGCCTGGTGAGTGTGGGCTGCGCGGCGGGGGAAGGGCCAGAAGGGCCAGGGTCGGCTGCTGGGCGGCTTGGCTCCCGAAATGCTCCCAGCAGTCAGGCAACCCCCGAAGCCCAGACGTGGTGAGGCCAGCTCATCTCCTCAAGGACCCCTAGTGGAGGACTCCTAATGGGATACTGGCTGGCAGCCCGGGGCCCAGTGTCTGCCCAGCCTGGCTGCTTAGCTCCTGTTGGGATGGGCACTAGATGTGAGCCCCCCGCTGGGCCGCCATTCAGGAAGGACCCAGTTTTGAAGACAAGCTCTGCCCTGAGTGGGCAGACCAGAGTGCTGTGGGCCCAGTGGGCCCTGGGGCCTCAGCCGGCAGCCAGGCCAGCCAAGCTCAGGGTGGCCTTCCAGGGATGGGGCTGGGGGAGGTGTCCGCAGAGTAGGTGCTTATGTGGGGGACATCGAAACCCTAAATGGGAGGTTCTGGGGGGCTGTGCCTTTGGGGAGCCTCCCGGAAGCCCGGCCTCAGCCTGTTCCTGCTGGGCAAAGCTCATTTCCCTTCTGTTCCCCTGATGTGTGATGAGTTGGGAGTTGGTGTGAGAGCCATGGCAGGGCTGGCTCACCAGAAGCTGGACAGAGGTGTGGAGGTGTGGAGGGGCTTCACTCTTCAGCATGTCACAGGCAAACCTTTTAAGGTCACGTTTACAATGAGAGTTTGGGGTGTTGACAAGGCATTCAGGTTATCCAAAGCTGATGAGGCACATGGCCCCTGCAGGGCTCAGGTCTGAGCAGGGGTGTCCCTGGGGCACCAAGCCCTTCTGCCTAACAGTGTGAGCCCCGCACAGGGCCATCCACTGGTGCTGGCCTGTCGGGCCTGCAGTGCCATTCAGCACTGGCCCTTCAGGGTGGGCAGCTGTGTGTGAACCTGAGCCCCGCACAGGGGCAGCCCACTTGAGGTCTGGGAGGCAGGAGAGGAGGTGTGGTGGCCCCTGGGCAGCCTGCTTCTCTTCCTCTCAGCTGGCTAGGGCTTGGGAACTTCAGGTCTCCACTTCGATGCTGGGGAGGGCCACCTCAGAGCCCCCCACAGTGTCCTCTAAGCCCTTTCTCCAGCGAGTCCTTCCCCCTCCCCACAAATGTGGCTGGTCTGGTCTGAACTCCGTACGGGCTTTGCTGACGGGGAAACTGAGAACAGGGTGGGGAGGTGGCAGGTAGGAGCAGGTCCTGTGGTGGGACTGCACCCCAGCCCCTCAGGTCACAGTCTTCCCCGGGTATCAGGCCAGTCTGCTCCTCAGGCTGTGTCCACCTTCCACATGCCAGGCCCTGAACTGGGCACCAGGACACACCTAAGGAGTGAAGAATGGGCTGGGATGTGGCTCAGTGGAAAGGCACTTGCCTTGCATGCGTGAAGCCCTGGGTTTGATCCCCAGTTCCAAAACCCAAAGACAAAAAAAAAAAAAAGCCAACCCAAGAAGTGGGGAATGAATCTGGAGCCGCCCTGTTCACGTTGTACATAGCAGACGGTTGATGTGGGTGGCGTGGACCCCAACCCCAACCCCAACCCTTGGCTGGCCTGGGGATGTGAGGCCTGTCTCCTGGCCTGGGAGAATGGGTGATAAGCTTGGCAGATGCCTCCTGAGAGGCCGCAGGTCTCTAGTTACCTGCCTGCCCCCTTCTCTAAGGCCACGGGCCTTGGATGGTAGGAACAGTATGGTCACTCCAGGCCTATCCCAACCTGAGCATAGAACATGTCCAGGAAGTGTGTGCCAAATAGGACCTTCAGGGGCCCCCTCTACTGCCCATCTCTCCCCCAGGAGGACCCTGGGGACCTCTCCTGACCTGCTTTAGGGTTCCCAGCCCATGGTGCAGAGTTGAGCACCACGACTGGCTGATCCTGAAGAGCTGGGCAGAGCATGGACACCCAGGGACTCAGGGCTCTGCTACCAGAGCTGACCAGGTGGCTCCTGGCCATGGGCTGGCTGGTCACTCCAGATTTGCCCCACAGCCCCCCAATTGTACCTCACAAGCCCCTTGAGTATGGCCAGAACTGATGTCCCAGGTGAGGCCCCCCTGGAGAAATTTGTTTCAATCCTCTTTTATTTTATTATTATTTTTTAATTTATGTTTTGGTTGTAGTTGGGCACAATACCTTTATTTTATTTATTAATTTTTATGTGGTGCTGAAGATTGAACCCAGGGCCTCACACGTGCTAGGCAAGCGCTCTACCTCAGAGCCACCACCCAGCCCCATGACCTCTTCTACAGGAGTACAGTCACCTTAGAAGTATCATCAAGATTACAGGAAAGTGACAGGAAAGCAGCCACCATCCCCGCCGGCAGGAGCCCTAACTCTGTGGTCCTTTGTGTGCTTTTCTGGGTGCATTAGCGCCTCCAACCTAGGCTTCTGTCATGGTGGACAAGCAAGGGGAGCGGTCACAATGGCCCCAGTCCACCTGCCTCCTCATCTGCAGTACACACCTGTCACACCCACGTCCCGAGCGGTCACAATGGCCCCAGTCCACCTGCCTCCTCATCTGCAGTACACACCTGTCACACCCACGTCCCCACCAGAGTCTGGCCTCCATGTGCATGGACATGGTCTGGGCCCTCTGAGCTCCACACAAGCCAGAGCCCAGCAGCCAGGGTCAGAGAGGACAGCAGACCCACAGCCCAAGGGCAACTCCAGCACCAGCTCCAAGAAGGAGCCAGTCAGGTGGGCTGAGCGTCCTTTGTTGGCAGGTACACCTGGCCTGGGCAGGTCTCCACCTCTGATACTCCCAAGCCCGCTCCTTCCTGCTCAGCCCCTGGAGACTCGTGTCCCTGAGTTAGTTTGCCCTCAGCCAGCAAGGGAGCTGGCTTTTCCCAGGTCAGTGTCCATGGTGTCTTCTCTAAGAGGGGCTGCTCAGGCCCTGGCCCTCCCCAGGCTCTGATTCTGGCTGTCCCCTTCTCTGTCTTGGGTAGCCGGGGCTCTGGCCTCAGAGGAGGCCGCTCTATAGTGCAGGACACTGTGGCCTGCACGTTCACCTTCCAGAGTGTTCCCCTGCAGAGCAAGCGGGGGTCCGGAGTCTTGCCTGGCCGCCCCGCTCTGCCCTGCGGCCCACACTGACTTGTTTGGAAGCCTCAGGTGCACACAGAGCCTGTCACTCAGCCGTCCTGGTTATGGTGAGCGGGCTTGGAAGCTCAAGTTCTTTGGAAAAGAACAGACCAAAAAACCAAACTGCAGCCAAGAGAGGCCTGGCAGCGGGTGCCTGCACGTGGCCAGGCCTGGCTGTCTGGACAGTGAGGAGAGACAGGTGCAGGCTGAGGGCCTCGGTGCAGGTGTGGTGACGGTGGGGACACCAGAGCAGGACAAGGGCAGCACTGGGGGTGTGTCCCCGAAGTGTGCAGTGAAAGGAGGCACTCTGCACCCAGTCCCCCGCCCCTCCTGGACCCTCAGCCTCCCCTCGGGACACAGGCAGTCTGAAGCTGGAGAAGGTGAATGAGGAAGCACTTCAACATTCTTTTTGAGGTCATTCTTTTTTTTTTTTTTCCTATTAATTTTTTATAAAAGTAAAAACATGGTCATGGTCACTGTCCAGATATTCAAACCTGGCTTCAGATGTCCCCGCTGCACACACACAGTCTGAGCAGGCCACTGTGTCTCCTCACCTTCCACACCTGAGGCAGCTCCCGGCCCCCCAGGGCGCATCCCTGGCAGCTGGGGGCCCTGTGTACGCCTGTGCCTGTGGCAAGGGGCGAGTGGGTCTAGTGCCCAGTGTGCCAGCTGGTTCAACGGGGAGAGTGCCTCAGGCCATGGCTCCCTGGTCTGAAGGGACAGCAGAGTGGGCTGCAGTGGGGCCTGGGGTGGTGCCAGGTAAGGAGCAGGACCACCAGTTACTGGGGACTTCAGATCAACAAACGCTCGAGTGCTTGCACTCCGGGGGCAGCAGGGGACCCAGCTGCACAGAGCACTCGCTGTCCCGTGGCTAGGACCCTGGGTTCTGCTCAGAGCTGCAGCCCTGCAGGAGGTGCCAAGGTCAGGGCTGCCCCCTGGGGAGGGCAGGATGCATGGATGGGGTGCTCAGCATCCTGGGCCTCTGTCTGGACAGTGGGCTCTGGAAGGGCAGAGGGAATGTCCAAGTTCCTGCCCCCAGAGGTGGTACAAGGGAGGCTTCCCCTGGAGACTGGCTGGGGTCCGGCTGACTGGGGCTAGTGCTCCTGCTGTGGAGTTGCCACCACCCAGGACCATGGGCCCTGCCTCCCTTCCAGGGTGGTACCAGCTCCCTCCACTCCAGGGAAATGAGCCACAAGCCTCATCCCCAGGGTGCTCCCGGGGAGACCGTTGGTGACTCCCAAGTGGCTGGGCATCAGCCCAGCAGCCAGGGTGTGGAGGCCACGGGCCTGGGAATGGACGCTCTTCCTCAGTCTCCCCAGCCAGATGAGCTGTGGCCCTGAGGCTGGTCTCCTGACCTGCCCCCTCCTCACCTTTCCACCATGGAGACTGGGCTCAAGGCCTGCCTGGACACAGAGGCCCAGAGAACACAGGGGTAGAATTCTCAGGGCCTGGCAGCTGCTTGCAGCAGGGTGCCATGGGGAGGGAGGGCAGTTCCATACCTGAGGATTTGGGGAAAGCTGGCGCTCGGGCTTTAGACAACCCCCTGCCCCACCCCTAGGCTGTCCTCCAGGGCAGGAGGTGGTCTGTGAGGCCGGCTGGCTTGGCCCTTGCCCTCTTCCTGAGGTGTGAGGGGTGGGGAAGGGGACGCTGAGGTCGCCGTGCTGCTCCTCTGACGCAGGCGAGTTTGCTCTCTCACTTAGTGGTTCTCTGGCTTGGTCCTGGGCAGGAGCATACAGAGGGGCACGGCTTTGTCCTGGTGGACTCTGTCCCTGTGCCCCAAGGCACCACTCTGTAGTCTGGACCCTGCAAGGCATCCCCATAGTCCTGGAGAGAAGGGCCAGGGACCCAGACCAAGTGGAGCAGTTTGAACTGGGGGAAGGGGGTGGACATGGTCAGGGGCATCATCCAAGAGCAGGGCCAGGAGTGGACAAGGTCTGGGGCAGGCGGCTGGGAAGCTCTGCTGTGGGGTTTGGGAAGGGCATCAAGCAGAGGCGCTCCTGTGGCTCCCAGGCTCCAGGGACAAGACTCCACGCAAACACGGAGCTGAGTCAGGCAGGAGAGAAGCAGCAGGGCACAGCATCCGAGGGGACAGGCCTGCAGAAGTGACCCCCAAGCCACAAGCACAGCAGAGGCTCCACGGGGCCTCCACTTGCTCCAGTTGACACCCTTCCAGGGCATGAGTCCTGCTGCCCCTGGCAAGGCTCACGTCAGCTTCTCTGTCCCCAGTCCTCGTCCCGCCGTGCTGGCCTCTGCTGCACCAATTGCCACACGACCAACACCACGCTGTGGCGGCGGAACACAGAGGGCGAGCCCGTGTGCAACGCCTGTGGCCTCTACATGAAGCTGCACGGGGTGAGTGTGCCCGACGGGCAGCCTGGCCTCTGCCGGGGAGCTGGGAGGAACCAGGCAGGGTGGCCCCAATGGCCCTCCGAGGTTGGAACCAGGGTCCAGCACTGCCTGCTCACCCTGCGTGGGGGAAAGACACAGGCCCAAGGTGCAGGTGGCCAAACAGAGCTTGAACACTGGCCAGCGCCCGCCGTCCAGGAGCAAGGGGCTGTGGGCCTAGACGAGGGAGGCGGCTGTGCCCACCCTTGTTGTCCCTACCAGGTGCCTCGGCCACTGGCCATGAAAAAGGAAAGTATCCAGACTCGCAAACGGAAGCCGAAGAACACTGCTAAGACCAGGGGCTGCCCAGGTGCGTGGGGAGGCTGCCCAGGTGCGTGGGGAGGGCCCCATGCCAAGGAGCCCAGCCCAGCCCCGAGCCCGGCTCCTACCAGCAGTGTGTATGTTTGGTCCAAGCGCCATCTTCCCAAGGGAGGGACTCCCCAAGGACTGGCTCCAGGAGGCGCAGGGTGGATGACCAGCCCAGCAATGGGGCCAAGCCAGGGCAGGATGCACCTCTCTGGCCCAGACAGGAGAAGCAGCCTGGCCAGATCTGGCACCTTCTGTAAGTGCTCCTCCTCCCCCACCTAGGATCCGCAGTGAATGCCACAGCCTCCCCAACTGCTGTCCCCAACACGGAGATCTTGGCTGCCACTTTGAAACCAGAGCCAAGCCTGGTGTCCCCAATGGGTGCCGAGCCCAACGTCACCTCCCAGGTATGGAGGACAGAGTGGGGAGGGGTGCCCAGAACTGGTCCGTACCCCTTCTCAGAGTTCCACCAGAACCCCCAAGGGCCTCCCCCCAGAGCTCAGCTGGGCATGTGGTCAGCCTCAGTCATCGGGAAGTGTCCGTGGGCACAGAGCCCTGCATGTCACATGCCTTACCAAGAGCGAACCTCAGGAGGGATCTCAACCCCGTTCAGGGAGCCGAGGGCCCCTCAGGGAAGCCGTCCATAGTGGGGGCTCCTGATGCAGGAAGGCCAGGCTGCTCCTGGGTTCTCACACAGCCCTCCTCCCTGCAGGCCCCTGGCCAGGTGGATGGCCCCCTGACCCCCGGCCACTTGGAATTCAAGTTTGAGCCTGAAGACTTTGCCTTCTCCTCCACATCCCTGGGCCCCCAGGCAGGCCTCAGTGGTGCCCTACACCAGGAGGCCTGGTGTGCACTGGCCTTGGCCTAGGCCCCAGCCAAGGTGTCGTCGGGGGCTTCCTGGACAGCGCCCACAGACTCACCTGCTGCTGGCAGAGATTGCCAGGCCCATCCACCAGAGAGGCCTCCTCCTGGAGTCTAGAGGCTTGGGAGCCACTCAACATGGTGGCACAGACAGCCCAGAGCGAGAGGAACGCTGAGGAGGGGCTTCTGCCCACGCCCTGCTCGGGCCTCTCCGCACCGCAGCACGTTTACAGGCGGTAGCCACTGGAATGAATCCTGACCTCCTGCTACGAAGCCAGGGCCCCAGGTGAAACCCTGAGGCCCCAGGAGCCTGGAGCCTGCCGTGGAGCCTGGCATGGGGCCTGGCATGGGCCCTGCAGCCTCCTGCCCTCCACTGCCCACATTTGATGGAGGGAGCTGCAAACACAGCACTTTCTCTCCCAAGGGCTCAGGCCCGCCGGGATGGGTGTGCAGGCCGTGCACTGTACCTGCACACCACCCCCCAGGGTGCCGTCCACCCTGAGTCCGTCTCAGGCTTGTGTCTTTATTTGGACAGTTTTTCCAGAGGGGGCAGTAAAGGACCTCATTCTCAATGTGTCCCATGTGTCGCAGCCATTTCTGACGGGCAGCATGAGTACTAGGGCCCATTAGAACCTGCACAGAGGCATTGTCAGAGCTGGGGTGGCCTGGGTCCTGGTCAGCTGCAGCATCAGTCTCAAATACTGTCCAGTCTCGGCAGCCCCCTGTGGAAGGTCTCATGACTGGAGCAACTCTGCATGGGGACTGGGGGCCAGCTGTGGAAGACCACCATCAGGCAGACCACAGGGAGCGGAGGGGAGCCCCCTTCTCAGCTCCCGCCAAGCCACGAGTCTTTAAACGTGAAATCCTCCAATTTGAAGCCTCTTTCAAGTTCCAATCTTGACTTGAAAGTCTTTTACGTATTGCCCACAGGCTGGAACACAGCTGCTGGCAAGCCACCAGTGGCCACCACCGACGGCTGTGCTCAAGCCCAGGGTCATCCCTCCAGGGGTCCTTCCAGCCCGGTGTCCACCTGAGGGAGGCTGGTGGTTTATTTGTGTTTGTTTTTAAAACAAGCGAAGCCATAACAACCGTTGTGAATAAAGCCCTTGAACCCACACTCTCCCTCCCGGTCACCCCATGGGACTTCCTAGCCTGGGCCCTGCCTGCCAGGCACAGCCATCCCAGGGGTCACTCTGCCCTGGCGGCCATCAGTTCTGGAGGCTGAGCAGGACTTCCCTAGCTGCCCTGAGTCACTTCAGGAGCCTGAAGGACACCCACAGGCCTTCAGGCTCAGAGTCATGGCCCTTCAGGGTCCAGTGGCATAGGGGAAGGACACTGGACAGAGCAGGGTCAAGGAGCAGCAGGTGCTGGAAGGTCCTGGAGGTGCAGAAGACCCAGGTGGCAGGGAGTCTTGCCCTTCCCAGGCGGGCCCCTCCTCCTGAGGCCTCCCCAACTGCCTCTCTGTCTGCCAGACACCGTAGCAGGGCCTGTGGACAACATGGGGACTTCAGCCCTCTGCCTGCTGGACCAGGCTGAAGGAGGCTCAGGCATGGCCCTTCGTTCTGGCCCAGGAAGTGGGAGATTTTCAGCTTGAGAGGGGGAGGGTAGAGCCCCCCACCCTGCCCCTAGTGCTGACGTGTGCAGACGCCCAGGCCCCACCCTGGACAGTGGCTCCCTGGGTCTGAGGAGGGCCCAGGAGTGAACGTTTTGAACAAGGACCCTACTCCTCTGGGGAGGAGGGGCCCTAACTTGAGAAGCTCTGCACTAAGATGCAGCTTCAGGCTAGGAATCTGGGTCAAGTCCCTGCCACTTGTGGTCCATCTGGCCCAGGGGACAGGGCTGAGGGTCCCATGGACTCTGATGAGCACCACAGGCACCGGGCAGTGCTGCGTGGGCTTGCTGCCATCTCCCCTCCAGGTCCCACTCAGGTGAGGGAACAGGCACAGAGAGGTGAAGGGGTCACCCAGCCAGGGAGGGCTTCACCACCCCGTCTGGCCCCTGCACAGCCTCACCTCCACCACCTTGGGCTCCTGAGGGGGTGGTGGGCCTCCATTATCAAGAAAAGGGAGGGACAGCCGTCCACAGGCCTCCACCAAGAGGGCAGGGCGGGCAGACCGCCTCACACAGGCCCAGTGTGCAGCACAGCTCCGTGGAGGGCAAGGCCCGCCCCGCCCATTCTCAGCAGCACCCAGCTGGGCAAGGGTGAGGGCCAGGGGCCCGGGAGGCCGACGGCAGGAAGGAGGGGCAGGAGGTGGTGATGATTGCTGCTTCTGCACCCTCCCTCCGAGCACCTGCACCCAGACACCTCCTGGACATGGGCCTTGGCCCTCCTCCTCCCTGAAGAGAAGCCCCCCAGGACCACAGCAGGCTACGTGAGGGGTGTCACAGGGGCCAGAGCAGGGTCCTCACCCAGTGCCCACCCAGGAGCCCGGGGCCCCTCTGAGCCTGTTTCTCCCCTGCCAAGGAGCACTTGTCCACACCAGGGCCAGGTCTGTGACCCGTGCACCTGTGGAGTAGACCCTGTCCCTGGGGGGCCCCTCATCTGGAAGCGCCCCAGACTCTGATGAACCCAGGGAGGCCTCAGAAGCTGTCCACAGTGAGACGTGAAGGTGAAGGACGGTAGGGCCCCTGGATGGAGGGAGGGGCTGGTTGCTGAAAGGGCTTAGGGACCTGGCCCAGGCCCAGGTGTCCCATCATGGGGAGAGAGGGGTTGGCCACTTCAGTCACTGCTCGAGATCTGCCCAGGATGCGGGAGGCCGAGAGCCACACGGCCTGGCACGGTGGTTCCTGACCAATCTAAGTGTTCTGCTCTTCGGGAGGAACCCGCCCAACCCAGACCTTAATATAGCTGCTGGCGCCCTCTCCCTGCCACGCCTCCTCCCATGCCTGGTGATGTGCCCAGCTGGCTGTAGGCCACCAGCTGAGGGGGAAGGGTGCTGGCAGGCCGGAGGTCCAGGCCCCTCATGAGAAGGCAGGACAGAAGGCAAGGTCCCTAACCTGCTGCCGGCAACACCGAGCTGAAGCAGATGTGCCCGGAGCTTAAAGCAAGAGCCGGCACAGCAGCTGGGAATCTGCTCTCTCCCACCTGCAGGAAGTGTCCCTGCACCAGCGAAGCCCAAAGACAGAATGTGCAAGGCACAGGCAGGAGGACCCAGCTCTCTGTCACTCGTCACTTGGTGCTTCTTGACTCAAAAAGCCGAGAGGCAAGGCTCTGCCCACAGGGCCGCCCGCCCACATCCAGCTCCTGCACTCGCTGCCGCGGCCACCCCGTGTCATGCCCTTTGCACGCTCACCTGGACCTGCAGGAGTCTGGAGCAGGCATCACCAGCCAGGCCCAAGAGCGGCCCCCGGCAGGCAGCCCTTCCTGCTGGGACTTTAGCTTCCAAATAAGAGTGTTCCTAGAGAAGAACACCATTGCAGACAGTTCTACACCACAGGCACGGTGTCTGGGGCAGGGACACCTTAGAAAGGGTGCCACAGACCTCAGTGCTGGCCTCTCTGAACCCCACAGGGAGTCATGGGGGCTCCGGTGGCCATTCTCCAGGCCTCAAAGGTGTGTGGACAGGCTTCGAGGCACAACAGCCTGGTGGGAGGGAGGGCAACGAAGGCTGGGGGCCACACAAAGGAAGGGCAGGGAGGCCACATGGACACGGGGTGGGCATGGACACGGGGTGGGCAGCACAGGCTTGAAATCCAGGCTCCTCCTTGAGAGGAATGTGGCCGTGCCCCAGGTCCCGTTTCTGGAGACGGCAGGCCTGTAGCTGGGGAACCTGGTCCTCGGAGTCCCTCCAGCCCTCTGAGGGTGGGACAGGTCTGGACTGGGGGCAGCAGCCAACGTCTCTGCTCTTAGGAGGCCAAGGCTCCAGCTCCTCCTCTGGGGCTTGGCTGGCTAGGGGGGACTCTGACCAGGCCCCCAGATCATGTACCATCTCCCTGCAGCTCAGAATTGTCACCCCCACCCAGACCCCTTGGCCGAGCCCACCCACCAGCCAGGCCAGACCCCATCTTCCTTGGCCCAGCCCAGATGCTCTAAGAGAAAGCAGTCCCCCTAGGTCCAACTTCCACAGGACAGTACTATCCAGGGAGCCAGGTCCCCTGGAGGCCAAAACCCTCCCCATCTTCCTCCGGGCCATGTTTGGGGGCTTCACACCCCATTCCACAGATGAGAAGGTGAGTCCAGAGAACCCACCAGGCTTCGAGCAGGGCAGACCCCAGGGTGCCTGGGTTCACACACACAAATGCACACTCTCGCATGCGCACACACACACACACACGCACATATGCACACACACATATGCACACACACACATGCAAGTGCACTTTGGGGTGCTGAATCTGGACCCAAAGAAGAGGGGCTGATTAACACCCAGATGGGGGTGGCTGGCCCTCAAGGGCCATTTGCAGGCCATGGTGGGCAGCCCCCTCCCGTCAGGGCCCTGCTCGGCCGCCAAGACGTTGACGCGCATGGCTCCGGCCGCCTTATTTATTATCTGATAAAGCGCCCGGCTCCGCTGGTGGACAGCGTCTGGCTGCACAGAGGCTGGAGGCCCAGGGAGGAGGAAGGTGGGTGGGGACAGAGTGGGGCCAGGCCTCCACCCCGGACCCGGGACGCAGCACCGAGGAATCCCGACCTCTCCTTCGAAGGTGACCAGCCTTTCTTCTCCGTTGCCCATCGGTTCAGCCAGCCAGGATGAGCGGCCTGGGTCTCCCGCAAGGGGGTCACACCCCAGAGCTGTGCCCCTGTTGCCAAAGCCTACTGCCCCTGGGGCATCCTCCCCTGCGCCCCCACCAGCTTCTGCCACAGCCCATCTGCACATGTTCACCTGGCCCACAGCCTAGACTGTCCAGGGTGCAACCTGGGCCTGTTCCTCCTTTGCTTCCAGACTCTCAGCTGCCCAGGGCCCAGCTCTGCCCAGCAGCCCAGCTCTGACACCCACCTCAGGGGCTCCTTCCCCTGCATGGGCCCCTCTCAGGTGCCAGGACACAACACACCAGCCTGACTGCACT